TTACAGTTAATACTCAGAACACCCCTAGGAGTGTAATGATCCTCATTTTACACATGGGGAAACTGGCATACGGAAGCGAAGTGATTTACCCAAGGTTATACAGCAAGTTAGTGAAATGGAATGCAAAAAGTTCCCGGCTCCATGTCCTGTGGTTAGTCCACAAAACTAGTTTGTCTCTTCTCTCACGTTACACTGCATATGTCTATATTCAATTACACATAGATAATCTATATCTTTCATCTATCTATACACACAGAGAAATTTACATACAACACAACCATATTTAAAATACTTACAAATTGAAGTAATTTATTCTTCACCAGTGATATTTACTATATATTGTTCCTATACTAACATTTAGCACGCACATTTTACCACAACAATAATAGTAGACATGTGATGGCCGCCCTCTTGCTCAACACACTGGGGATTGAACCAGGGACCTCCAAAGCCAAAAAGCACGAATGGCCAAAGGCCCAAATAGGACCTGCAATACAGTAGAGATGCACAGCAATTTATTTTATTTTTTTTAACCAAGAGTTTATTGACAAAGAAAATGCAGTCTGGGGTCAACTGGAACTATTTGTGAATTCAGAAGTGTGAACGAATTGTTTCTGCAAAAAAAAGTCAAAATATTTTGACTTTTTCAAAACAAAACGGCTTGCCTTTCAGTTTCAGAAGAAAAGTTGAGAAGTTTAGCTAAATTTATTTCTAAAAAAAGAAGTAAATACATCTGAAAAAGAAATCATTTGAGTCGAACAAAACACTGCATTCGACCTGAAATGATTTTTGTTGTTGTTTTGTTTTGGTGAGAAACATTTCCATTTTATGTCAACCTGAACAAAATATTTTTTGGTTCAGCCACCGAACCGAAAAAATGAATTATTCACCCAGCTCTGTTAACCAGTGAGTTACAGATGGACTTTCACCGTATCATCAGCTAACTTTTTGAAAACATTTTTTTTAACTGAAGAAAGTTCATGTTTAAACCAAGTTCCCTCCTGCCTGCCCACTCAGGGTTGTAGGGGAAGACCAAAATGCAGGTGACCATTATGTAACCACGCTGTAAGTGAAAGAACTTGGGAAGACATGCCCGTGTTCTAGTGAAGCTCGAAAACTTGTGATACAGGAGATATTGGATGCTGTTACTGTAGTGAACCTGAGTGCAACCTGTGACAACCATATGAGCCACAAGTATCTTTGTACTGATATATACAACTGACGGTTTTCACTATACATAAAACCCCCTTGCCAATTTCTTCATATTTCATACTATGAACCAAATTCTGTGCTACTTACTTGAATAAAAAATCCCATTGACATCAACTTTGCTATGCTTGAGTAAAAACTGAAGCATTTGACCCATTAGTATTGGATTGGTTAACAGGATTTTCTACATTCAGCAATGTGACTGGGTCTTCTGGTATCTCTTAAAAGAATCAAGTGTTTTTCACCCTTGTTTGAAAACTCTTAAGGTAAGGAACCTAAAATATATAGGTTAACATGCAAGACCTTCTAGGAAAACTTCGTAATGCTTTATAATCGCATTGATTTTATTAAATGCTATTTATTCTGCATAAAATTGCACTGTTTAATAAAATTAGAACAGACAAACCAAACAATCTGCCTGCAACTCAAAATCAGTTCTGTTTCAATTATTTTAGACAAGTAATATATACAGCACTTCTCTTCTATTCTAAGACTTGTCTCTACAATTAAATGCTTTGACTGCAAGATGAACAAAACTGGGAGTAGGCTCTTTTCTTGTCCTAATTTTGTTGATACTGGAAATAAATGCTGGATTATGGATGTACTTGGCCTCTTACAAAGGCTTTCTAGATTAAGAATCTAAAAATATGTAGCGTTGGTTGATATACAGTAGTTTGGCATTGTTACAGTACATGCTATATAATGCCTTCGATATAGAGATGACTAACAAAATTGCTTATCTATGATAATACCAATAAAAAACTGTACTGAGTGATTTGAAAACAAGCCTATATGTAATAGGTTATTTTTTTAAACAAGACATTCAGAATAAGATGTGAATTCTCTGTTTTCTTTCCTTACGAAAGATTTTCTCTCTTTAGATGAGCATAAGAACAACCACACTGGGTCAGACCAAAGGTCCATCTAGCCCAGTAGCCTCTCTTCCAACAGTGGCCAATGAACAGAACAGGCAATCATCAAGTGATCCATCCCATCGCCCGTTCCCAGCTTCTGGCAAATAGAGGACAGGGACAGGATTCCTGCCCATCCTGGCTAATAGCCACTGATGGACCTGTCCTCCATGAACTTGTCTAGTTCTTTTTTTAACACTGTTATAGTCTTGGCCTTCACAACATCCTCTAGTAAGGAGTTCCACAGGTTGACTGTGCGTTGTGTGAAAAAATATTTCTTTTTGTTTGTTTTAAACCTGTTGCCTATTAATTTCATTGGGTGACCCCTAGTTCTTGTGTTATGAGAAGGAGTAAATAACATTTCCTTATTTACTTTCTCCACACAAGTCATGATTTTATAGACCTCAATCATATCACCCCTTAGTCGTCTCTTTTCCAAGCTGAAAAGTCCCAGTCATATTAATCTTTCCTCATATAGAAGCAATTCCATATTCCTAATAATATTTGTTGCCCTTTTCTGAACCTTTTCCAATTCCAATATATCTTTTTGAGATGGGGCGACCACATCTGCACACAGTATTCAAGATGTGGGAGTACCATGGATTTATATAGAGGCAATATGATATTTTCGGTTTTATTATCTTTCCCTTTCTTAATGATTCCCAACCTTCTGTTCGCTTTTTTGACTGCCGCTGCACATTGAGGGGATTTTTCACAGAACTATCCACAATGACTCCAAGATCTCTTTCTTGAGTGGTAACAGCCAATTTAGACCCCATCATTTTATATGACTCATCTATAGCATTGTCAGTACAGTTGAAGTCAGCCAAAGTCCTCATTGATGTTCTCGTTTGCTGTATTTGCAAATCCCATAGGCTTTACATAGTAATTCTTAATTATGGTCCTAATCCTGCAATCTAATTCATACAGGCACCCTATACCTGTATAGAGTCTTACTGAAGTCAGTGGGGTGCTACCTAGGTGAAGGGATGCAACTAGTACAGACCACATTGCATGATCAGGGCCTAAACTGGGATGAATGAACTACTCACATGAGCCTGGATTACTTGAGTGAATGAAGACTGAAGGACCGGGGCCTTGGATGGGAAGAAAGAATTTGGATACATTTGTATCTTTGCATGCTTTCTGGAAACAGGGTTTTCTAGATGATGATTTTAATAGTTATTTTAAAAACCTAAGAGACATTGGCCTTTGTGGAAATTTTCTGAACTATCACTGATAAAAGTCACACAGCACTAATGTTCTTCATCACACTTCTGAAATTTTTAAAAATCCTTCAAAGCCTCCTAAGCGATCAGAGCACAATTCAGTTCCTCTAAGTGTGTTAAGCTCTTTTTTTTTGTTAAGTGTAACAGAGGCTACATTTGCTATTTCTCATCAATTTTACGAGTTAAAAAGATGTTCATCCCACAACTGGACAAAGAACAAACAATAAAATAATCTGCAGCCTGAGTAACTCAAGGCAACAAGTTAAAATTTAATCGTATTAGTGCAAGGGGTATTTGCAATGCAGATTGCCTGTTACATTGCAAAATTTTAATGAATTCAAGACAGTACCTTAGACCCAGCTACAAGAGAGAAATCATGCTGAGTTAAAAATGCTATGTTTTTGGGTAGCTTGAATCACCTTCTATTTGCATTATGTCGGAATAATTAATTTGCAGTTTTGTCTGACATCTAATACGCCCTGCAACAACAAGAGAGAGACAACCAATTTTTCAAAGTTTGTTGACTTCTTGTTACTGGTGAGCAAATTTAGCAGCAACCTAATTTTGATACAGAGAATTTAAGTCTTTAAAGTATTTCTGCATTTTGATACAGAAATTCTGTTGGAACAAACAGTTCACACAACCCATCGAGATGTCTTCTCTATTCTCAGAAGAGCCTCTGATTATTATTTTTAAATAATCAGAAAGTAATTAGTGTCTTGGCTTTCACAAACCTTTGTCCCGTTATGTTACTTCCAACACTTCTTTGAAGATATATTTATGCCTACTACCTGATGCTCCTGCAAAGATAGAGGTCGAAATGCACTGCCTTTTTAAAAACGTGTTTTAAAAGACCAAAATAAGATCAACGTTGAAGCCAAATACTGCGTTCTTTACTCAGGCAAAACTCCCAGCAAAGTCGGTGGGAGCTTTGCCTGAGTAAGGACGGGAGGATTGATCCCTCTGCATCATTCTTCCCCCGGGTTCAAAGAAGATTTCTTTAAAACACCGCTGAGCTCGCCTCAGCGTCACTCTGAGACAGATTTCCCCTGTTCGGAAAGAGTCTGCCTGGTCCACCACCCCAGGAGTCCTCTGGTCAGTTTCCCTCTGTCTCTCGCACAAACACAGGCGTGACTTGTTACACAATGAATGGCACTCTAGCTGGCCCTGGCCGATCGCACTGCTCGGGCTTCTCTTCTGCTTCACGTTCACACATGAGTGCCCTCAGCGAGAGACGACCGCGTGAGGAGCGCGGACCCCCGCCGATCTCCAAGCACACCCCGCCGATCTCTTCGGCCACCCCACCCCCGGCGGGAAATGGCCCCAGCTGGCAGGCTGCTGCAGCTGCTCCGGACCAAGCCTCCGCTGGGTGTCAGAGACTTCCTCCCCACCCACCCCTGCTCTTGGAACAGCCCATCGCCCCGCGGCTTGGAAGGGAGGCGAGCCCGAGCGGCGAGCTCCGGCGGGGGCGGGGGGCGAGAACTCGGGCGCGGCGCAGCTGGGCGCAGCTGGAGCAGCAGCGGCGCCCTTCTCGCCTGCAGGCTGCACCCGGCCGGGGGGCGTTCGCCCAGCGGCGCTTCTCCCCGGGGGCGCCTCGGAGTCGGCAAACTTGCCCCCGCCCTGTGCAATTCGGCTCCGCGTGCCCCATTACCTTGCAGAGGAGCGAGCCCGGGCGCGGCGTGGCTGCACTGAGCTGGCTGGGGAGGGAGGGTTTTCAGCAGCCGTAAAGCGGGGAGAGAGCCCTTTCCCTTTCCCCGAGCTGCGGTGTGAGTTGCTCGTTACGGGAGATCAGCCCGCTTGGCAGCCCCAGCAAAGGGCCGGAGCCAGAGGGAAGGAGAGAGCGGCTGAGTCACAGCCAGGGAGACAGGTCTGCACAGGGAGGAAGCGGGTGTAAAGGGCAGGAGGAGAGGGGCTGTGGCGGGGGGTGGATTCCTGCAGAACAGAACTAAAGAGTGGCGGAAAAGAAAAAAATCAGAGCCTCGCCACGTGGAAAAGCAGAAGAGGCTCTACCCTGCCCCCCTTTGCTGTCCAGATGGTCGTTGACCTACATTTCAACAAGACCTTCATGAAGCCATGTGTCATCCTACCATCATTCAGGGATTTTATCCTCACAGGGCTCTGGGAAGTGGGAAAGTGTCATCCCACAGATGGGGAGGCAGGATAGGGTAGATCAAGGGCATTGTCTTCACCAGTGGTCTCCAAACTTTTTGGCTCGCGCACCCCGAGGGTGAAGACCAGAAGACCTGCCGCAGGTGCGCTGCCGACGGAAGAAGAACGGAAGATTTACCACAGGCGGGCCGCCGGAGGGGAACACCAGCCATGGACGCGCAGAGCTGCCGCCGAAGAGAAAAAACGGCGGAGCGCCATCCGGTGACGCTCCTGCTGCCGGCGCGCTCCCCCTGGTATCATCTCGCACACCCCAATTTGGAGACCACTGGTCTACACTACAGAATGATGTTGACCATGGTCACATCGCCATACAGCCACCACAATAATTAAATGGCTTTTGCGTGTCCACACTATGCTCCTCGTGTCGGCGGTGTGCAGCCGCAGCAGGAGCGCTTACGGCAATGCACTGTCTGACACTAGGTCAACCTAACTACATCAACGTTGACTCTACTAGGCCTCTTGAGGAGATGGAGATCTTAAGTTGGCAAGCAGGGCATTTAGGGCGGCAGGAGTGAAATTTTAATGTAGACACTTACATAGGTCGACGTAATCAGTCTTGAGTCCACTTTATTCTGCAGTGTAGACCAGGCCTAACTAACTTGGCCAGAGCCACACAGAAAGTCTGTGGCTGAGCCAAGACTTGAACCCAGGTAATGGGTGTCTCACTCTAGTGCCCTAGCCACTAGACAACCCTTCCTCACAGCTGAGTGGCTTATTTTGTCTAGGAGCTGTCCTAAGCTATACCACCCAAACCACTCTTTTGCCAGTATAAGATATGTCTGTGTAACCCACACACCTACTGGGTGTGGTGCTCTGTCCCATCTAGTGGTACTGAGACCGCTTAGAGAGAGAGTTAAATGAGACTGCTCTACAGCCTTAGCTAATAAGCAGTTGGCTTTGAGCTTATGCGGTAGAGGTTCATGCACTAAGCTCCAGAGGTCCCTGGTTTGATCCTGCCAACGACCAGGGGTCTGTTAGCATTACATCTGCACTAGGAGGAGTTTCGAGTATAGCTATACTGGCAAGCCCTTTCTAATGTAGACAAGGCTTAAGGGAAGGAGAATAAGCTATACCAGTGTAAGATACCTTTATATCAGTATAACTGTGTCCACACTAGGAATTGTACTAGTATAACTGTATTATATTAAAAAAAAAAAAACCCACAACTGAAATAGTTATATCAGTAAAAAAAACCTGTGTAAACCACGCCTAAGTTTAAAATCATGAGTCAGGAGCCAAATCATCTGTTTTGGGTCCTGTTTCTTAACAATCTGGTTTCTGAGCCTAAAAGCTGAGGCTTTAAGAAAAACAGTAAATATTGTGAGATTTGTGATAGAATTGCAAGAGTTGGCAACAGTGACAGTTGGCCACAATCTGCAGCGGAAATTCTGACCATTTGTCTAAGTATAGTTAAGTCTTTGAATGTGGTTGTTCAATAAAATGTGAGCTTGCCCATATTTTGGGGTTGAATTCTCATTTTCTCGGGCACATTAAAATGAAATAACACTGCTGCTGCAATTGCCTCTCTGCATTCTGCTTGCTGTTTTGGACAATTGTGCCAGGTTTTCCCATTTTTATGCTCTAGTTTTTAGTGTGTCTGACTCTCACTTGGGCTTCTATGTTTAGTTTTGCCCATACTTCACTATAAATTAAAATGTCATTGGCACCACCAGTCTGAGGCTATGAGTCTCAGCTGAGGCCACATAATAATTTATTTCAAAAGAAAGCGAAAATTCTAATACCTAAACAGTGTTACGGACAGCATCCATCTGGTTTGAAATCGACACCGAAATACAGACCAGCCCTAGTTTAGGCTGCTGTTGATGCGGAACACTCGTTTTGGCTGTGTCTGCAAATAGGTTTTATTCCAGGTTCTGCTTCAAGCCAATGGAGAATAACCTGATGAATCTGGAAAGCATCTACAGTTGGCCCATTCACTTGTACCTGCATCAAGTGTTGATAGTGTGCAGGCACCTCAGTCCTATTGCTTTGCTTAGTCCCTCCTTTCAACCCCTCTCCTCTGACTGATGGCTCTGTCCTATTGCTGTGCTCCACCCCTTTCCTATTCCTATCCTATTGCAGCAGCTCAGTTCTCTTTGTCCCATTCCCCGTCAGACCTCCAGTCACGTCCCAGCTGACTGGCAGCTCCATGCTGTTATGCCTTTTTCCAGCTTGAAAGCTTGTCTCTCTCACCCACAGAAGTTGGTCCAATAAAAGCTATTACCTCACCCACCTTGTCTCTCTAATATCCTGAGACAGACAGGGCTACAACTACACTGCATACATTTTTCCACTCAGTCCACTCTCAGCCTCCTTATCCTGCAAACAGGTTGCCTGACTCCCTTCCTTGCACAGCTAGCATGTCTGCTTGTCCTCTGACTGGAGAAGGATTTTTCCCAGCCTCGTGGGCCAGATTCATGAAAGGCATCTTTAGTTCCTATACTTCTATCAAATAAGTGGTACTCACGTTTCTACTTTAGTAGTGAAGAAGCCATACAGATAACTGAGGACATATATGTCTATATGCCTATACAGAAGATATCGTTTTGTGGTGTATATGTAGAGTAAGTAATTTAGGGAACCACTAAGGATCAGCCATTTGGAAGGGGGTGGGATGAGGTGGACTCACTGAGGTTTAGCCAGTAATCCTAGATTCCTCAGTTTTCCTCACAATTATATATGAACGTGTAGGTTGAACAATTAGAAATGGTATTCTGCAAACTCTTAAATTTAGCGTGTATCAATACTAATTAATTAATTCCACAGCAACAGAGGACAGTTTCCCAATGCACATCCTAGATTATGTATAGCTTTGTAATTGTCTGACATGCAGTAATTTGATGGCTTTGCTGAACCCCCTTAACATCAATAGATAAACTTTGATCTTGAATCCAGTCCCATTATAATACTGTCTATTTGTAAAAAACGAGCTTCCTCGAGGCAATTAATGATTTAGTTCTGACTGGGAGCATTTTACTATTCCTTCTGTCCTAAATCTGCAATTTGTCTTGGATTCCAGGTTTCTAATGTAGAGGCTACTGAGATCAGCAGCTTTAGCAAAGCTGGAGAAACAATCTGTTAAATTTCACTGCCTAAAAGCCAGGGTTAAGGGACTATTGTTTACACCAAGAGAAAAAGAGAAGAGAACGGGGATCAGGAAGCATTTCCTAGAAGAGTGGATATGACATTCCCATCCCCACTGAAAAACAAAAACTTAGGAAATTGTTTTCCCGACCAGAGGATAAAAGTGCTACCACCAAAACCTCCACACATCTGACTTGTATAAGAGGAGAGCATTTCTGAATTTCAACCCATCTAAGGAAAGTAGCTTCTGCTCTTCGCGTACAGCAATTGCAATGTCTGAGAAGACGGGTACAGCTACGAAGGCAATTTCAGAATAGTTCAGAGAGCAGCAGCACAGTTAGTCACTCTGAGAAGCAGAAGAGAGGGAGAAGCTAATTTACAAAATCAGTCAAAAAAGCAGTTTTTCCAAAAGGAAGGAAGAAGTAGGAAAAGTACCCTGAAGAAAAACAATGTGTCATGGGATTGTAACCTGGAGCCTGCCTCTCTCCTCAAAGTCCTGCATTTTGTGGGCAGGACCTTGAAAGAGCCACCACAAAGCGTTACCGCTAGGAAGCCCAAACCTACAAGCATTTAAATACATTAATAACTTTACTCATGTGCATAGTCCCATGGGCCATTAATCTGTTCCTTGCTGCTTTAACACAGTTATAATTCAATATTTCCTTAAAATCTGTCCTCTTTTCTCACTAAAATCCTTGCCTATGACTTGGTCATTTTTTTTTACCTTGACTACTCCGAACATCTCTTCTCTAGCCTTCTGCTAAGTCATCCTGCCCCCCCTCAGCCTGCCACTGGATATCCCCGCTTTGCATCTCTTCACTTGCTTCTTCTTACCTTCAACCTCAAGTTCAACATCCTCACCTTCAAGATCCTGTACAACTTTGCCCCTTCCTAAGCCTCTGCTCTTACCTTCTCCTGCAGACCAGCAGCAAAGCCTGGGTCTTTTTTGAAGTCCCAGTCCAGTGCTCCATCTATAGCTTTTTATAAAACAGATGTTCTAAGGAATCGTTTTGTTCTATAGCCTGTGTAACACAGGAGGTCAGACTAGATGGACCCAATGGTCCCTTCTGGCCCTAGAATCTATGAATCAGGCCACACTGCCAATACTGAGCATCACATTTCATGATGTAGTCACAAAGAACCCTTTCTGGAGTTCTCTGTCCAAGTTGTATCTGAGGTCCCATATTATTTAGCATGTATATCCCCTCTTCTACTTCTCTACCTGTAGCAACAGCACATGTGCTGCAGTGTCGCTCACTGTCTAAAACTTTATTACTCAGATTAAAACCAAAACACTTGTTTTGCTACCTAAAAAACTCTCAGTATATTTCTGTTCTAATGACCCATCCTCCCCCAGTCTTTCTTACATGGTATCAGCCAGATTCTATCAGGATGAGAGAAACATATATTCAGCTTCCCACAGTACTCAGGTATAGCCAAAGGCAAATGTCTGAGTTCATTGGCAAGGCAAATAAACCATTTTGGCTTGTGACTCAGGATCACAGTCTCCAGAGATGAGTCACACAAAGAAGTGATGCCGCAGCATCCAGAATCATGAAACTAGGGTCTGAAGAAGACAGATGCAGGTGAGATTACATTTGCAAAATGTTAACGTGATTTAAAAATGACATTCAGGACAATGAAATGTAAACTGCCCCTTCCCAGGAAAGCCTCTTTTGGAGGGAGGAAAAATGTGATGTGATTAAAAAGAAAAACAACACCAGCTACACCAAAATTATGGCCTCAATTCAGCAGAGCA